GCCCCAACATTTTCAAATTCTTGTGGTAGCATATGAGGCAGAATTCTGTTACTAAGAGTACCTAAGGCATCATGTAGCCCATCTTTCACCGCTCAGTGCATTCTGTCCATCCCGATATAGCAATAAAAAAAGTACATGGAAAATAAATTTATTTAACTATAAAAGAATAATAATGTAGCTTTAATGTTGTTTTATTATTTACTTGTCGGATGTTATATAGTTTGTATTTTTATTAGTCTTATACATTTAAATTTATGTACAAACGTTCTATTAAAATTTATAATATGTTGGTTGTATAATTTTACTTCAATGATAACTTATTAATGTAATTTATACAAATATAAATTCTTTTGGTTATTCGAAAAAAATACTTCACTAATAAAAAAAATCTGTCATTTTCTTGGAAATAAAATACTTAACAATAGCAAGGTTTTATATTAAAAATATTATTTTTGGAAAAAAAAATTAAAATACAATATACAATATACATAATTCTTAAAGTATTCATGTATAATCTATAATTTTATTTTTGTTTATTCCTTAACTATTACTCACTATATTTTAATTTACAAATTACAAATGTGTGAAAAAATTAGACTAAATTTAATAATAAATATAATACAATATAATAATATTTTCTTAAAGGATACTACTTTTTTATTTTTGTCATAAGACACACAATGTTGAGGTGGCGTTGTGAAAAAGGGTTTCTTTTTCTTTCTTTTAAATAAAATGAATGTTGCACATTTTATAGGTAAAATTTTGTCCTTAACCATATTTATCTTGAAGTGAAATTACCTATAAACGACAACAAAATCAATTAATTGTTTAGAATAAGATGCTGAAAATTTGGTGGATATTACAAGTAAATTACCCATGAATAAATAAGTATTTATGAAAAAACTTTATTTATTTATTTATTTTAAATGAATATATAAAAATTAGTAATAACCGAAATGAAGGAGGGGAGGTCGTTTGCCTTGTTTGGCACGTCTTTTTTTGGGCCTATCAAACTCTATAAATACCCTCCTCCATTCCCTCTTTTTTCTCCTTCTTTTTCTCTACACACCTACAATTTCTACCAATTCCTTCATTCGTCCCTTCTTTCTCCCTACAAGATCGTTTATTCTGCCTCTTCAATCGCAGAATTTCGTCTCTCAATCAGGTATATATATACTCCTTAATTCTACCTATTACGCTGTGCATTGTTGTCGCAATTTCATCTCGATTTGTGTTTTAATGGTTATGAAGCTGTAGAAATTCCGATTGAGATCTGATTTTTTTTTCTTCTTTTGTTTTCGATGTTTGTGTTTGTTTTATGATGATTTTGACAGCATAATTGAACTTAAAATTTCTCTGTGTCGTTTTATGAGGAAGTACTGTTTGTCGGTTGCAGAATTGAAAGCTATTGAAAGCTTGTGCGTGTCTTAATCAGAAATTTCTGTTAATTTTTGTTGTTTTATAACGTATAAAACTGATAGAGATTAAGGATTCAATGTGATTGCCTAATGTGTTTGAATAATTTCATGCTCCGGGTATCTGTTGCTATACAAGCTTTGAAATTTTAGCCCCAAATTTACACCAAAAGCATGGAATTAATAGTCTATTTGCAAAATATTATCAACAGGTCTTACGATTTCTGTTATAATATGAAAATTTCTTGATGTTTTGGGAACAATATTTTTTCTATATATCTGTATAACTGCACATCGCTATTGAATTTCCAAAAGTATCGATTAGCTTTATATAATTGCATGTTTGATTTTTTATAGAGTTATTCATGTTTTTCATGTTTATTTCATAGCTCTAATAACTTGGTGTGGTGGGTTTTGAATAAACAGTTAGCCAATCAATTCATCTTTCTTGTTCTAGGTATAGTATTATGGCTGTCGCTTTATTGCTATATTGTTTATTAACGAGTTCCATAATTTATATTAGTTGTGATCATGAATAGACAAGTAAATTTCATTTTAATGTTTTTAAACATATCAAGAGCACGAGGGTTGCGGGTTATGGTGGTTGTGAAGTCACATCAAGAGAAAGAACATGGTGATACCTGACTCATATTTTTAATTTTTTTTTGTAACAAAGTGACATCATTATGGAGCTTATGTGAATATAATTAATATTAATTACCTTTCAACTCATATTATGATATATAGTATAGTAGATCCATGAAGAAAATACATGTTTCCTACTTTGTAGGGTCCACATCGGGGTCATGTGACAAGTGTGAAGACACTGTTCAACATTAAATTAAACAAATAATATTTTTAAAGCTTTCTGGCAATTACTTTGTGCTTCATCAACTAATGATCAGTTCGAGTCATGATGTTTAATTGAATAAATCTTACAAAAAGGCGATGGATATGGATCTTTTCACCCAACATACTATTCTTTATATTATTAATGGAATCTTTTGATCTACTTCTATACAACATTTAAAGTACAAAACATGTCTTTGATCCATATCAATCTTTACATCTTCTATGGATATGGTGAATTATTATTATATACTGCTATTCTATTCAAAAATCCACTCAATTAAGTTAACTGGTGCTTGTTGTAATCATTTAAAGAACATTGTTTTTACCCAAATCCACTTCAACTTTTTAAGATGGTCATTATCTTTCATGCTTTTTGTAGTAAAAATAACTTTTTTTTTTCCTTCACTTTTTCAGGAAAGAACTCCATTAAACTAAAAATTAACATAGTTATAAGTGTATAATATAAAACGCTTAGCTTCTGAAAATGATGCAATTTCAGAAAGCTTCTGTTTAATGGAAAGCATACCCACCACAAGCGACAAGAAAACTCTAAAAAGGTGGTTTTTTATCGATAAAACAGTTGGATAAACAGTGATCAAATTATTTTGTTTGAATATAAAAAAATAAAAATGGATTTGAAGCCAAAAAATGCTCCAGTTCTTGCGGATCCTTCTCCTTTAAACAAATCAAGATTAGGGATGCCTTCAAACATGCTGCCATGTTCACAATCTGGAGCTCCATTTTCCTCAACCATGTTAACTGCTCCAAGAAAAAAACCCGGGAAACTTGATGATGTGAGATCCAATGGGTGGCTTGATGCCATGCAATCTTCTTCTCCTCCTCGTAAGAAAATAGTCAAAGATTTTGGAGTTGAGGTTGCATCTGATGATAGTGATATTGTTTACAACTCTTGGATGGTAAATACTTCATTCATACTAATATGTGTTTTATGTCATATTCTCCAAATTTACACATTTAGTCCTTAAAGTTCTAATACGAACGAGTTTGCCACTAAACTTATGATGCCACATGGAATTTTTAATTAAAAGGAGTTGATTTGTCACAACATTTTTTTGTCATACATAACAATTCACATTTTACACGGGTTGTACAACATGCAAGAAAAGAAGTGTATGAATCAACTCATGTTTTTAAATAAATTACATTTTTGGCCCATAGTATAGATGATTTTTACAATTTTGGTCACAAAAAGTTTTCTTTTGCTTTTTGTCCTTATTTGAAGTTCTTTTAACGTTTTTGGTCCTTGTTCCATGTAAATTTCTATTTTTGGTCCCTGATATTAGCTAGTTTTTGTAATTTGGACCCAAATATATTGTCATTTTACTTGGAACAAGTCGAAAAACGTTACAAAAATCTCAAATAACGACCAAATTTGAAAAAAAAAAAATCACATGTACTCAAGGCCAAAAAATGTAGTTTACTCTAATTTATATTTGTTAATTAGAATATTGTGTAATTTATATTTTATTGTAAATGAAAATGAATCAAAAAGTCCAATGATGCAATAATACCAAATTCTTAAGTTTAGTGACAAAATGTGTAATTATTGGACAGACTTTGTTGGTCAAATATTATGACATAAACTCCACTATATATATATTATTATTTCATTGTCATATAATGTTATATTTATGAATTAAATTTTTATTATTTGCAGCTTAAGTACCCATCAGCTCTCAACTCTTTTGATCATATTATAAATCGTGCAAAAGATAAGGAAATTGTTATATTCTTGGATTATGATGGGACACTCTCACCAATTGTAGATGATCCTGATCGTGCTTTTTATGTCTGCTGATGTAAGTATCTGCACACATGATTACATCTTTTCTATTTTTTTTTTATTTTTTTTTATAAATTAAATCAAAGAAATATAACGAGAAAAAAAATCCTTTTCTTTCCAGATGCATTCTGCTGTAAAAGGCGTTGCAGAATATTTTCCCACAGCCATAATTAGTGGAAGAAGCCGTGATAAGGTATACATTATACAAAACTATACTTTGAAAAATCAAGAGTAAATTACAAAATTGGTCCCTGTGGTATCCTGAAAAGTACAGTTTGAGTCCATTTTGTTTTTCATTCACATGGTCAGTCCAAAATTGAAACTTCCATGCACAGATTTGGTCCCTCGGATTAACTTCTGTCTAAAAAAAGGCCTCAAACTGCACTTTTTGGGATATCACAGGGACCAAATCTGCATGGAAGTTTCATTTTTGGACTCAAACTGCACTTTTTCGGATACCACAGGGACCAATTTTGCAATTAACTTTTAAAATATACTCAATTTCAACATTTTAGTTTCAATTTTTGTTATGAGGGAAATTTGTTTCTGAAAAATATAATCTACTCAATTATAGCATTGTACTTTTTTTTTTCTTTTTTTTCTTACTATGACATTAGACTTTGAAAAATCCAGTTATATATGGATGACATTGCTATAATTGGTGGATAAAATGAAAGTAGGTTTGATATAATAAACAAATGTATGTATGTATGTATGTATGTATGTATGTATGTATGGATGCATGTGAATATGTATGTATGTATGTATGTATTGTTGTGTTCAGGTGTATGAGTTAGTAGGACTAGCAGAACTGTATTATGCGGGTAGCCATGGAATGGACATCATGTTTCCTGTTCAAGACACATCTTCTGTCCACCAAAATACTTACATTAGATCTACTGACAAACAGGTATTCATCATATTTTCTTCTAATATCTCTTCCTAAAATACCCTTCTTCTAAATTTTTATTAATCTTTCAGGGAAAGGAAGTGAACTTGTTCCAACCTGCTAGCGAGTTTATACCTATGATCGATGAGGTCAGGGATCAAAATTCAAAATTCAAAATTCAAATTTAAACAAACTTTTATTTTTTTATTAAAAAAATGGGATTGGGATTTTATGGCAGGTTTTTAAAACCCTTGTCGAGGTTACTAAGGATATTAAAGGTGCAAAAGTGGAAAATCACAAATTTTGTACCTCTGTACATTACCGTAACGTAGATGAGAAGGTGAGGGCATTTTTGGTATTTATATGTACTTTTATTTTTATATGGAAGTTAATGACACTTTTTGTTATTTTATTTTATTTTAATTTATTTAGAGTTGGCTTACAGTTGCACAATGTGTTCATGATGTGTTAAAGGATTATCCTCGTTTGCGACTAACTCATGGACGGAAGGTAAAAAAAAATAGCAACCTACTTTCATTTATTTTTTCATTATAGCATCCTACTTTAATTTTTTCCTAATAAGAAAAAAATAAATAAAATTTAAATGCTATAAATTATAGATTTTTCAAATTTACAATTTCTTAATTCTCTACAGGTTTTAGAGGTCCGTCCTGTAATTGATTGGGACAAAGGAAGGGCTGTTGAGTTTCTTCTTGAAACACTGGGTATGTGTTAATTTGCTTTTTTTTTTTTTTTGAGATTTTTCTTGTTAATTAGATTGTGGTTTTATTAAAAAAAATTCATAAATATAAACAGGGCTAAGCAACAGTGATGATGTGCTTCCGATTTATATTGGGGATGATAGAACAGACGAAGATGCATTTAAGGTAAGTTGTTAACATTTTTTATAAACCAATTTTACAATTTTGAGTAAAAGTTAGTAACACTTTTGGTCCCTGACTGTTTGCTTAACTTTCCAATTTTGGTCCCCAAAAAGTTGTCTCTTACAAATTTAGTCCTTATTTGAGATTTATGTAACTCTTTTGGTCCATGTTCCAAGTAATATGACTATTTTTGGGACAAAAATAGCCAAAATTAGTCATTTTACTTTAAAACATGGGACCAAAGACGTTTGACAACTTCAAATTAGTACCAAATTTGCTTGAGAAATCTTTTTAGGACCAAAATTGCAGAATCCAGCTATACCCAGGGACAAAAAATGCAAATTACTCAATTAAGACGTTGAACAATTTTTGTACCTTTTTAGGTTTTGAGAGAAGGAAACCGTGGATATGGAATTTTGGTGTCTTCCGCACCCAAAGAAAGCAAAGCCTTTTTATCTCTTAGAGACACTATAGAGGTTCGTCTGTGTTCTATGTTATGTTTTGTTCTATTCTGTGTTTTGATATAATATTTATGTATGTATGTATGTATGTATAGGTGTCAGAATTTCTGAAGAGCCTAGTGAAATGGAAGGAACAACAGTAAGAGTAAGAGTAAAGAGTAAGAAGATGATTTGCGAAAAGTGGGTACAGATGTGTCATGTGTCTTGTGTGTGTTAAAAATTTAGTATTTGGTGAATAAGTGGTAGCCTGTGGGAACTGCGGGCTTGTTTAGAAGAGTTTTTATTCCATTTTGTTTGAGTGTGAGTTTTTTGTTTTTTTATTTTTAATTTTATTTTAAGTTTATAATGAGTCATGAAATCAATTTGAGATTGTATTATTTTTGTTTTGTTTTGATTGATTGGTTCATTTATTTTAGTTCCATTCTTTTTGGTGTAGTGATATTGTTGATGATATAAGATTAATGTTTATATTTGCTCTTATATACGTAACATTTGTTTGTTTTTTCTGTATGAATATAACATTTTTATATGTCCAAAATTTTTTAAAAAATTTTATATACTGAAATAGGTAGATTAAAGCTATTTACGTTTTTGGAGTTAGGACACCATGACAAAATTGCAAAAATGGTCCCTGTTGTATGCATTTTTTTGGGGTTTTAGTCCAAACCCCGACTTTTTTGGATTCGTGGTCCTTTTGAGCTAGTTTTGTTGTGTTTTTTGGTCCCTCTGAATGGTGAAATGACTTAAATACCTTTGGGGTTTTTATTTTCCATTTTTCTTTCATTTCTTCTTAAATATAATACTAATTTAATTTTTTTAATAATTAAAAAAATGAGAAGGGGCCCACCTTCTCTCTCTCTCTCTCTCTCTCTCTCTCTCTCTCTCTCTCTCTCTCTCTCTCTTGTGAAAAAGAAAGTCAAATTCCTCCACCCACTTCTTCTTCCCCAGATTTCTATGCTTTCTCTCACTACTACCGACGTTCCCTTTCTCCGACTGATCCATTCTCAGTTTGTTCTTAAACATAAACACACACCCGGTTTTACATAAAAACACACGCCATATGAACCAAAATGAAGATGAACACAAGAGATTTGAAAAACATGAACCTAAATGTTCAAGAACTCAAGAACTCGGATTCGAAATGTTTGTACTTCAAGGATCTTGCAGATTTCGACTTTGATCATATACAAAAAACACATACATACAACAACCGTTTACTGACATCGATCGAGCTTTATCCCCCAACAACCATTTACATACATCGGTCGTCGAAGTTTCACTTGGGTTTGGATTTCAGACCGCCGTGTTCAACTGCGGGTTTGAGTTTGGTTTTCAGACGGAGTGTATGAAGGTAGGAAGAGTCTGAGTCGTTATCTTATTGGTCATCGGAAACTGGGTCTGTTTGTGTTGATGGGTTGATGTCATTGCAGAGGGAGGTGTTAGGCGCGTTTCTTGGTGGTGGTGGGTGGTTGGTTTGTGTTGGGGATGGATGCCACCACAGGATGATGTGTGGTAATCAAATTGGGTTTATCCTTATCGCCTCCCTCGTCTTCATCATCTACAACTCTTATTTTCCTCTCCAACCTTTGACTTTTCTCCCCTGTGATTAGCTAGCTTAAGCTCTCCAACCTCCGATTTCCTCTTCAATCCTTGACGCCTCCATCACCTTTATTATCTTCAACTCTACCACTTCCTGCTTCATCATACTCTAAAAATCACATATGCTCACCAAGCTCTTCATCTAAGAACGATGATCCATATGGTAGTGACAAGATCTGGTATAACATGTGTGTCGAAATTCTTGAAAGAGATAAGAGATGATGATGATGTTATTGAGGCTAGATCTGATCGATTTTTGTGTTTGTTTAGGTAAATGTTCTAAAGATTATACTGGAAAACTCTTGAAGGTTTGAACAATTTTAATGATTCTTGAATGGAATATGTATAGGAAAACATTTTGATGAAGATGATTTTGATACGAGAGAGAGAGAGAGAGAGAGAGAGAGAGATGTGGGCCCAAATTAATTAACTATTTTCTTTTTCCTTTAAATTAAAATGAAAAAAATATAAAAAGTATATCAGAAAGGGCATTTTAGTCTTTTCAGTTTTTCGAGGGACCAAAATCACAAGCAAATATGGTCATAAGGACCACGAAGCCAAAAAAGTTGGGGTTTGGACTAAAACCCCAAAAAATACATACCACAGGGACCATTTTTGCAATTTTGTCGGACACTATTAACATTTTTGTATAAATCTTTACCTTTTGGACCATTAAATTTTTGGAGAAAAGAGTGAGCTTTTTGTAGTGGGCCTTGATATTTACAAAGTCAAAAGTGTTATGGATTGTAGAAGCTGGACTTACTGTTACGGTGGTGTTACGAATAAACTTATAATAATGGACTAGTTTAAATATAAAACTAATCATTAAAATACCAAATATAAGAAGCTCATATTGTAAACTAATTACTTGTGTGAAAAAAAAAACATAAATAGTGGTTGCCACAACCATATATTTTACTTTGTTTGATACCAGGGGAGGATAGTAAGGGTCGAGGAGGGGCTATGTTTTTAGTTAGAAGTGGTGTATCCGTGTATACCCCATTATTTTTATATATATTATACCTAAAAATATAAAATTTAGGTTGTAGCCCCTTCTACTCTCCAATTTTTTTATATATATATATTATATTTTCGGTTCTCTCAAATTAAATCTTCAAGCTCCTCCACTGGTTGATATGTTTGTATAAGGTTATATAACTTAGAAGATTTATCTTTGACTTATTCTTTGTATTTTTATAAACTTTTAGAATACATCAGTATACATTACAGATTCATTTAAGAGATAGCATACAATGAAATGCTTGTTGTTCAAAAATAAAATTAGGAGATAACATATAATTGAAATCACAAGACTTATCAAAACCATCAAGAATATTCATGAGGTGCATGAGAATTATCTCTGGTACCCCTCTCCCCCCAACTTGAAGAGATAGCAGACAACATGTAGCGTGACTTGAAATTGTTCAAATGGGTGTGGAAGATGTTAGGTGAAAATATATGCAAGTTTAAGTGATGTAGGTACAAAAAGGGTATACAGTCGTCCACAAGAAACCAATTTACGAACAAAATTATATTAAATATCAATATGCTTTGCATGTTTACGAGAAATGAGATTTTGACTTAGAAAAACAACACTTTGATTGTTATATAGTAGAGTGTGGTAATGAGGAGGCAAAGCATGAAGTTCACAAAGAAGATGAGTGATCCAAACAATTTCAGCATTAGTATTTTGATAATTTATAAGTTTCTTGATTTATGCTAAACTTAATAGCTGATGTATGTATTATTGTTTTTATTTTAGAATTTTGATAATTTTCAACGAACGTGGCTTCTCAAAGTCATGAAATCTAAAAATGGATCTTATTTAGAGGAGAAACTCATACCTTGAGTGAACTATCTGAACATTTTAGACTATTGAGGAATTTATGAGATTCGACGTCCAACTCTTGCTCTAATTGTTTAGATGGGTGTATTGGTGCCAATTGTTTACCGAATTCTAGTTGTAGTCCTTGGATTGCTATTCTCAATTCGGTTAAGCAATTAAAGCAGAAAGGTATGAATATGATGTTAGCTTGTACTCGTAAATTGGGGGATGGGATGCACATTTCTTTTTGGGATGATGATTGGTGTGGAGAACAATCGCCCAAAGAACAGTTCCCGCGAGTGTATGCATTGGATAAAGAAAAAAAATTAATGTCGATGATCGTATTTATATTCTTGATTGGTTCTCGGTTTTGAGAAGAAGAACGAGGAATGGGGAGGAGATTGTGCAGTATTTAGATTTGAATAGATGCATTAGTATGGTGACTTTGACTGATCATAGGGATGGTTGGTTGTGGTCTTCGAATGGTAAAGATGGATTCATGGTTGCTTCTATGCGGTCTTTCATTGATGCTAAACTTTGGTTGTGGATGCTAATTCGACTAGATGGAAACTTGGGTTAAATATGCTCTCTACCCGAGTCAATTTGGATAGAAGAGGTATTTGATATTGGGTCTTTTTTTCCGTTTTGTAGTAATGATATGGAGACTGTTAATCATCATTTCTTCACGTGCGAGATGGCGATTGATTTATGGAATTGTTTGGCTACTTGGTGGGAGTTGGATCTTCTGTTCCTTTGTAATTTTGTGGATTGGACGTGTTGGTTGGATGCATAACGTTCAAAGAAGCCTATTATATTGTGTTTGGATGTTGTGGAAGCTACTCTTATGTGGGCTATTTGGTCTTTCGGAATAAGCAACTTATAACCTCCCAAAAACCATAGTAAAATTTTTCCATTTTTTAAAAGAGCGTAAACCATTTTTCCATAACATAAGTAACCAAAAACATTGTTTCACAAGCATATCATGAAATCAGAGTATCAAAATCATAGTATCTCTCAAAACATAACGACCACCGGATGATGTGTACAGTCATACTTTCGCCTTGCCCTAATCCTCAAAAGTACATGAAACATTTAGATCCACAACTGTACGTCAAAGCTTAGTATGTTCCCCTAAAATACCCTACACGACAATACACATACAATGCATGTACGCCAGACCTGTAACATAGAGTTGGACCGTCTCTCGAGCCTACAATCTATAGCTAGACCGCTCTCCTGAGCCTACAGTAACAACTAGACTACTCTCCTGATCCTACAACATGTAGTTGGACCGCTATTAGTGGGCATACAATATCAACTGGACCGCCCGGGTATCGTGGGAACTGGTTCCATCATCTTAATGAATTAAACTCTTAACCCTTAATCTTCATAGCTCAAAAGCTCAAATCTGATCCTTCCAAAGGTCTTGATCGATAAAGTTTCCAACTTTATCCATTAAGCCATCTGAATAAGTCAAGATCTTTAAACCTAGGTTCTTAATGGATGCACCGAAAGCATGGGCACCAAACTAAGTCATGCAAGCCATCTTTCTAACCACCACCATGTTCCAGAAGCCATAGAGTGCACTCAAGGGTTTTGGAGTTCACTCAAAGGCCAAGAACAAGAAGATTTGGACCAAAAGCTCATAAAATGGCATAACAATAGATCTACAGAAGTAATGACCGATATAAGAACTTTATACCTCCAAATGATCAGAAATATGATAAAGATGATAGATTTAAGCTGGAAACAAGCACACAAGCAACAAGAGATGCTCCTTCTTCTTCAACTTTCAGCAAATGGACCCACACACTCAAAACATACATAAGGAGTCTAGGGTTTGGGTGGAATACGATCTCAGAGGATAGAGGCTGCCAAATGAGGCAACCATAGGAGTTAGTGTCTTTAAATATGGCACTAATCACGGGATCTAGGGTTTTAAACCCTATCTGCCACTACGTCGTGGCCAAGGCCTTGCCACGTCATGGTGTATCGCGAATGCGCATCCACCACG